CAGCCATTAACTTTTTTCCCTACTCTCCTCTGCACAGCCTACAGGACATTGGTCAAGCAGAATATATTCCAAGATACTCTGATCTAAGTCTAGCTTGCTTGTGCTAGATTAATAGGGAATAAGGAAAGAAATTACCAGTCAGGAGTTCAGGTTAACAAACCAGAGAAACTAGGTTTGTGTATACACATAGCGCTAGTGAGTGTATGTGGGATATCACTGTGTGGCCCTTTCCCTGACTGCTGCCTTTCCCCTGGGCTCTCACACCTGTGTGGCCCTTTTCTCTTACTTCCTTCTGTCTTCACCCCCTCCCTGGGATGTGAATACTTATCAGATAGGTCCTGGAGCTGGGCGCGTCTTTCTGTTTCTGGGCCATCACTTCCTGGCTCTGCGTGATAAGCCATGAGGCCTTACCGAGATGATGGGGTAGACGGAAGTGGCACAGGCTGGATGGCCAGGGCATGGGAAAGCCTAGAGGCCATGAGAGACCCACACCTTGCCATCCATCAGCTGCTTCATGACCTAAATGTCTTAGAACTCTGCCTCCACGCCCGGGCAGCTCCATCCCCTCACCTGTCATGTTTCCAACCTTCTACGAAAACTGAAGCCAGCCTGTTGTTGCCAGCTGTGAACAATTAATTTCACTCCCAGCAGCCCATACTCATCTCTCCCTCCCCAACCAGACCCTGTTTTCCAGGTACTGATGTTTCTCTAGCAAAGTCTTCTGGAGGCAGAGCATCCTGTCTCAAGGTCAGGACCCACACTGCTTGGGACACTGGAAGGAACACTGTTCTAGTTTGATATTTATTACTGTGAAAAAATATTTATACCTGTCCAAAGGCAACTGAGGGAAAGAAACAGTTTATTTCAGCTTATACTTCCAGGTCACAGACCATCACAGAGGGAGTCAGGCCAGGAACTCAATCAGGAACCATGGATGCTTACCGGCTCTCTCACAGGCTCATGCTTAGCTGGCCTTATACAGCCTAGGGAATGAAACCACTCACAGTGGACTAAGAGGCCTCCTAGGTCAAATAACAACCAAGACACTCCCCTACAGGCATGCCCACATAACAACCTGATAGAGAATTACTCATTTGAGACTCCCCCCTACCAAGTGATTTTGGTCTACTAGGAAAAGCACTGTGGAGTCCACAGATTGCATTTAAGTCTGAGCCTTCTCTGACACAGGGCTTCCAATTAGAGGTCCCATGCTTCCTATTCAGTTCACTCTTCTCTAAGATTTGGCTGAACCAACCCAACTCTGACTCCATGTGAGCTTGGCCAGGACTCAGTGTGCCCGAGTATCGCCCTGGTGCTAGTCCACAGCTGAGTCCTCTCACTGGGGTGCCACTGGTTCTTTGCTGTTAATCTACCCTCCATCCAGGATGAGCCAGGCACCCCACAGCTTCTAGAGCCCTCACGATACTGGAGACTGGCCTATCTTTAGACTTGGGCAATGTACACACAAGAAGTCGGGTCCTATCACTGCACTGTCATTTCAATGCCACATAGAGAGAATTATGCAGCATGCAGCCCTTAGGACTTCTCTTGTCAAGTCCATATAATTAAACAACAGCTCTTGCGAAGATCTATTATGGGTTCATTACTTTAATGGCTGGGAATCACACAGTATGGCTTTGATAGCTGGGAATCACATAGTAGGTCTTTCCAGTTCTAGGGGTGTTGCAAGTGTAGCTGTGAGGCATAGCACATTCTCCTTTCTGATCACTAGCACAGATGACCCCCACCTCACCAAGGTCTTTGTTCCTGCTGTGGCAAACATGCTCTGCGACCTCATCGTCCTTTCTAAGCCAAGTCCTCTTGGCTCTGGAAAACCCCCTCCAGATGCTTCCAAACAGTTTTTATCACTGGATAGGCATCTCTGTGCTGTTCCCTTCAGGAAATAGCACAGGACCATTTATGGGGTGAAACTCACACTACAGACTGCACAGCTGCAGGTGGAGCTGTGACCGCTGAAGGCCTGTCCTCTTAGTCTATTTCACAGTCATTATCACACCAGCCAAGAATTACCCATTTCTTTGTTTCTTTGCTGATGGTTCGTGGTGACAGTGTCACATCATGGAAATCGGGAACTCTGGTGCTCTGGGTTTCAGCCACATCACAGACCTCTGTGACCTCAGACAATGACTTGAGTTTCCCATGCCTCAGTTTCTTCATCTGTGAATGGGCATGTTAACAGCAGGGTGGTTTTCTAGGATTAAATAGGGTACTCAAGACACTGTCACACGGCAGAGTCTCCATATATACTTTACACAGTTAACCTACCAATGATTGGCTTAGCGCCACAAGACTGATTTACAGATAAGATTGAAGGGTTGATTACTTGTTCATTGTGGTAGAGCCCAAAAATGAGGGAACAGACATTCATTTATAACTGTCTGCACCAGTACTGCAACCCCAAAACTGGGGGTGCCGTTATCCTGGTCCCATAATCTATGAGAACTGAAGTACACTCCATAAGTTCTTCCTACTCAAAGTGTTCCCTATGTGAGCTTCCTTTTAGCTCTTAGGGATTGAGAACTCTTAAATTCCAGAGACAGTAGAGATCAGCTCCTGGAGTCAAAACCAGCCAAGGCAGCAACAAGGATATGATGATGGCATCTATGAATATCTACAATGATTACCTGACTGGACAGCCAGACCAGAGACCCATCCAACCCATGGCTCAGTGCGAGTAGCTGCCCCTCCCTTCCTCTGAGGCTTCTGCTGCTGCGACATGGGGGTGGCTTAGCCAGAGCCACGTGAACAGAGCACAAGCTCTCCGTATTGTTTCCACAGCACTCATCCCAGGGTCTCTCTACACATGCCAAAGTTAGGTGAGATCTAACGTCAGAGAGGCACAAACAGATCTGAAGACCTAGGGACAGGGCCCAGCTTAGACTCCTGACACTGTTTCTTAAAAAGCCTTGGTGTCCCTGCTGGGAAGCCAAACAGTTCAACCTCACACTGCAGATGCCTGCAGTTCCTATTTTGTACTGATAGAAAGCTAAACTAGCCTTTAGTGTGTTGCTTGGCCCTCTTCCTTTCTTTCTGCCCAATTTCCTTGTCCTTCTTTTGGCCAACAAGCATTTCCTGCCACACTTCTGACCCTGCAACAGAACACCAAAGTGAGCTTGATCTTGAAGACACACCTTTAATCAGGGCCACACTTTCTGCAGGAAGCCTATATAAAAGCATGGAAGGAGGATGCTTTCGTTCTTTGCCTGCTTGTTCCTGCCTTGCCAGCAAGTCCATTCCCTCACTGGCATTGGAGCCTACTTCTTCAAGATTCCAGCATATACTAAAGACCAGTTCTGGATCTCTCGACTCTCCATTCATGGTCAGCCACTGCTGGATTAGCTGGACCACAGCCTCTAAGTCATCCTAATAAATGCCCTTTCTATATATAGAGATTCATTCTGTAAGTTCTATTGCTCTAGCGAACCCTAGAGTTGTGCTAGATACAGAAGCACATCTGGATTTACAGAAGGCAATATACACATAATGTTCAATTTTTGGAACTTTTCCTTTAACACAAAGCCAAGTTATGCAGCTCGAATTATTCAGTGCCACATGAGAGATAAACGGGGTTTCAGTTGCATGAAAATTTTAAGTCCTTCCTTAAACCCTTTGGGTTTAGAATCCCATCGTCACTTTAAATTACTCAGCTGAGCCTGCCCATTCTAGCTCATAAATGTGCTTTCAAAGTTATGCAAGCTAGGCACGGTGGTGAACATCTTTAATCCCAGCACTCCAGAGGAAGAAGTAGGTGGGTCTCTGTGAAATAGAAACTAGCCTGATCTACATGGCAAGCTCCAGACCAGCCACCGAGACAGAGTGAGACTGTCTCAAAAAAGGAAAAACAAAAAACAAAAAACGAATCCTATCTGGGTCAATATGCAGAAAATAAGTGATAGAGGAAGGCTCAGCTACAAGTGTGGCACCTACAGCGCACCCCACCCCCACACGGCTCAGAGGACAAACAGCTTGAAGAGCAGACAGACTGTGAGAGCAGTCTGTGGAGGACGATCATGAAGGTGTTTTCCAGACTGGACAGGAACACTGCACTCATGAGCTTACAGCAGCTGTGGATGCCTGCATGCCACCTCACCAAGATAGGCCAGTCGACATTCCAACACGGTGGGGGGGGTCACCTAACTGAGAAGCTATTGACGGACGGGATGAGTCTGTTTCCCTCAGGGTGTGGCCCTGGAAGGTTGTCCATGCCCCAGTGGATGGCCCCATACATATGCACATGTGGGCAGCACTAATGGGACTCTGGGTTATCAAGGAAATCTTTTTAAAGGCCATGAGGTTGGGAGGGGACATCGTGAGGGTGGTCTAGGGCACTCAGAAAAAGGGCTGGGAATATACAGATTTCAAATGCATTGTTAACATGTATGAAATTCTCAGTAACAAAAATACTTTAAGTGTATCAATACACACACAGTCACCTGACCTCCACTACAGAACCAGCTGGATTGCACAGCAGCTGCAGTGTGCACAGAAAACCAAGTGTGAGACTGGCTGCAGCTTCCTGCTGTTCAAGGTCGTCATGCGAGGTTAGGCCACTCAGAAACAACTCTGTGGCAAGTACAGCACTGACGTGCAAATGAAACATCCATCTCTTTTCCTCACTTCTGCTCAACAGCAAGGGCTGAGAGGGCATCTGGATATCCCTTTAGCTCCCTAGGGAAGTGACAGAGACAAAGCACTTAGGGACATGGGAATCCTACAGACAAAACAATAACCAGAAGGGTCATGAGCAGAGAAATGAGCAGACTGGTTTCTGAGGAGTAGGCTGCAGCTGGAGTCACAGCAGTGCATGGATTTTCAAAGTTCCCCTCACAGATTTGACAGGGGCCTTTAAGACACGTTACCTAAGAGGCCCGTTATTCTCAGAACATCCTTCTTTCTCAAATGCTTCATTTTTAAGCCTTTTACTACATTAAGGCAAAACATTTTAATTCTTGCCATTTTTTAAATACTATACTTACAAGTCAGTATAATTATATTTTATTGTAACGGGTTTCAAAGATGAAGGTAGGGCTTCTTTACCAGAGCCACTAAAAACCACAAAGTTAACAAACATTTTTAAAAAGCCTGGATACCAAAATAGCTTTTAATTGTTAAAAATTGTGAAGAAAGCTTAAGAGAATAGGATGGCAGTTGAACTTTTCTCAAAGCACAACAACAAATACATTAAAACAAAAGAATAACGAAAGGAAAATGTGTTATGTCTGATGCTAAATCCTGTTAGAAGTGAACATTTCCATAGGACTCAATGAAAACCTCATCACCAAAAGAACCTCTCCCCTCTGCAGTTGGCAGCTGGAGAATGCACCCTTCGTGAGTGCAGCCTCAGGCCGGGTGGGCACAATGCAGCCTAAAGAGACTCAGCATCGGCAGCTTGCAGCTACATGGTCCTAAACAAAGAAAGTAGGGGTCTCGTGGGGAAAGTGTCATGTGAAGCCAAAGAACACTTAGCTATCATTCATACCCATGGTACAAGTCTCTCCTACATGTCAAACATCTACAGAGATGAAAAGGCAGAGGACTCTGTCTGACCATCTTACTTGGGGCTTATGCAGTCTCAGTTCTCCAAAAGCTACACACGCTTTATTCTGGAAAGGAAAAAACCCAGGGTACCAAGACTATCGAAACCCCGGGATACCAAATTCAGGTTTTGTTCTGTTCCATTTAACAACTTTACCCACTGGCTGCAAATTACATCCATGAGAAACTTGTTAGTGTTTTCTGAGATTTCTAAGAACGTTCGGCATTTTTGCTAGAATACCCTGCTGACTTTCTGGAAATACGTTGTTTCAAATACTTTACTATGAGGCTGGAAAGAGCTGTGTGAGGACCCAAGTGCATCAAGAGCATCAGCCGCACTGAGAAGCAAGCATCCCGTGAACCTGTGCCTGCCTGGGTTTTCACACATTCAGTAATGCCTCACATGGCTGCAGGGCTTCCCTGAGCAAAGTCCGCTTCTCGGCCATCACAATCTCAGGTAGACTTCTGCTCCTCAATGCTGTCAGGGGTCTCTGGCTGGTGGCTCACCCCTGGGTGACTCTGTCTTGCTCTGGATGAGAGAGATCTGCAGCACAGGCAGGAGAAGCTGGAAGGCATCTTGAATGTAGGAGGCACTGTTTGAGGCCTGGCAGGATTGAGGAGTCACCAAAAAAAGTTACAATCACATGAAAAAGGAAATACTTAAAGACAATAAAACAACAGAACTCTGAAGTAAAGAAAAGACAGACCTCACTACTGCACTCAAGTCTGATATGGGACAAGAGAGACCTGGCACTCCCATAAAACAGCAACACCAAAAGAATGCCAGCACCCCAACTCACCCATCAGACATGGCAGCTCTGAGTGCTGCTCAAACCTGACATGCAGGGATTATCTATCCCACGACCCAATGGGTACACTCTGTTCCCACAGTACAGTGGGGACAGACAGGTGCTCTCAGGAGGCTCTGACCCATCACAGCTTGTTGGGCCTGATAAGGCCTGCTGCATCTACCTGAGCCTGGCTCGAGTTTGGAGACCTATCCTTTAGCTTCTGATTTAAGAGGTGCTGCTTCCGGGCAAAAGTGACTCAGCATATCCGCCTTAAAATTAACCCTGCCTGGTAACTGTTACGTGGAGTTCTGTCACTGGCCCACCTCTCCTTGCACTACCTAACCTTGCCCTCTACGTCATCTTACCTCACTTCCTTAACCCTGCCCCCTGACCCAAACCTATAAAAAGATCACTTTATTCAATAAATGAAGTTCCTGCTTTGACAGATCTCCTGGCTCAGTGGTGTTTTATTCCCTGGGGTATCAGGGAGGTTCAGGCCGTCGACACTCATCAGCCACAGAGGGCGTCCAGCTAGACTGGCCACCCTCCTCTCAGCTCCACCTGCTGGCTACTGATCTGGCAACAGCTCCTCCCATAGACTCAGTGCCATGATGGAAGCATTGCACACAGGTATGAACAGTACAGACATGGTCTGCTTGGTGCAATGGACATGCAGACAAGAAACCTTAGAGAATCATTACGCCCAAGCATGCAGATCTGGTTTATAGGTGACAAGCAATCCCTTTACAGAATAACAGTGGGTAGTTCATTACCCTAAAATAAAGATGTACATTTCCAAGGACAAGAGTGTTTCAAATATGTGAGAACAGCCCATTCAAAATGGCAACAGGAAGTTCACACCAAGAGAGCCTGCCTCTTGTGCACTTATCAATGGGCTGGCACTCCTGTCAGAACTTCAGTAGGATACCTGCTAACAGTTTCCAGCCAAAAGAGACCTTAGGGATCATCTAGGTACAGCTTCTTGCACTTAAAACAAGATGCCAGGAAAGGCCTCTCTAGCCCAGGATGACAGAGCACATGAGAGGCCTCCTCACTGCAAAGAACTTTCAACTCTGCCAGCTACAAAACCATAGACTTGTGTTTAAAACAGCTTAATGATCCCAAAAGTTCTGAGCTACTCAAGGCTGTGCAGCTGGAGGGTTAAGAGTATTTCTTTAACAGTAGCTTAGACTACACAGTCTAGTTGGTTCTTAAAAATCTTTTTATTTATTTTTTTTTTTGTATTTTTATTTCTTTACTCTTGTGTGCACGTGTGGGAGTACGCATGCTCTAATTCACACGAGGAGGTGTCAGAGGACAACTTCCAGGAGTCTGTTCTCTCCTTCCACCATGGGAGTCCTGAGGATTGCACCCTGAGCCATCTCACTGACCCTCAATTCATACTTAAAACCAAGCCAATCAGCAACATAGCTCTCTCGTAGCATTACGAAGTGTCTTCTCACGAGGCCATCACAGGTCTAAGTTGTCAAGAGTTCTGAAAGCATGGACTCCAGAAACCTCCCCACCCTGGTGGCAATCTGACCAACTATGGTATCCTTTCACACCTCCTCTGGAGACTGTCTTTACATGCACTGGTGTTCTGCGGCATGTACACCTGTGTGAAAGTGTCGGATCCCTGGAACTGGAGTTAAAGACACTTGAGAAGCTGCCATGTTGGGGGCTGGGAATTAAACCCAGGGGCCTCTGGAAGAGTAGCCAGTGCTCTTAACAGCTGAACCATCTCTCCAGCTCCCTCTTCTAAAGACTTAAACCCTATGGACCTAATGCTCACAGACTGACAAGGATATGCAAGCTCCAGTGCCACTCTGTCAAAACAGAGAAGGACTTTTTACTTGGAAATGGCCACATGCCTTGTTTTCTAACATCTCTGAACAAGGCCCAGCCCTTCAGGAAGCAGTACATGTCTGGTGGTCCCACGGGTTCAGCAGCTGGTCTCCAGAAGGTGTTTCATTACTGAAAATAGGGAATTAAGCTTCAAGAGGTAGGAACTCAATGATGACAACCTATGGCTTCTTCCATCCCACTTTACCCTTCGGCTTTGTTACACCTGCTGACTACAAAGTAGGGAAAGTACATCAAATAAACAGCATTAGTCATATCTGTATCAGCAGGGCTAAAGTGCAATCTTGTTTTGAAAAGGCAAAAACTAAGAGTGTGTAATAAATTAATGCATAATTCCTGAGGAGTCAAAGATGTAAAACCATTACTACTAACCTCTAGAAACACTGCAGTGATTAATGGATTAAGAACATCCGTCTTCTCTCTGACCTGGAATAAAGAAGAGAGTTTTGTCATAGCACACTTTAAAAAAAACAACAGGCAGAACAGATTCCCACCCTGAAACACACATGGGAAAACAAGCGCAGAACATCACGACCAAGGGAGAGCCAAGTGTCATCCCAGGAAGGAAACTTTAAGAGTTGTGAACTTCCTTTTTATACCTTTCTGTGCTACCAAGTTGAGAATGCACTGCTTTGTAGTTTTGGGGGGTTTTGTTGCTATTATTGTTTCTTGGGTGTGTGTGCGCATGTGCGTACGTACGTGTCTGTGTGTTTGTGTGTGTGTCTATTGTTGTGTGTGTATTTATCTGTGTGTATGTCTGTGTCTGTGTGTGTGTTCTTGAGGTACACATGACCACAGCATGAGTGTGGAGGTCAGAGGACAATGCTTCAGGAGTCAGTTCTCTCCTTCTACCATGGCTCTGGACACTGAACTCAGGTCATCAGGCTTGCTCACCAAGTGCCTTTACCCTGAGTCATCTCACCAACCCTGTAGTCATTTATCAACTTTTTAAAATATCCTCATTCTGAATGATGTGAACACAAAATGCAGTTTTATTCAGGCAGAAAGAGAAATGAAGGTATGTCATTAGCAGGAGCGATGGAACTTTCCAGAAACATTTTCATGCTGAGTAGAACAAGCTGCCCTCAGAAAGAAATGTACATGTTTTTTCTACTAGATGGAATGCAGAGTAACATATTTCTGTGGGTGTGGAGAACGTGGGGTGGGGGGAGGCCTACTTAAGGGACAGAAGATGATCAGCCAGCACAAGGAGGGACAAGAGAGAAAAATGGGGGTGATTTGTACACATGATGTTGAGTGCTGTCAACTTGACAGACTCTAGAATCAGCTGGGAGGTGGCCTGTGACCACACCTGTGAGGGCTTATCCTGGCTCTGTTAAGTCTCCCTCCTGCACTGCTTCAGTGAGGGCAGCAGGCTCAACCCTGACACATGCACATCTGCTGCTCCCTCTCTGGCTGCAGACAATGTGAGGAGTGGCTGCTTCAGCCTCCTGCTGCCATGACTACCCCACCAGGATGGGCCGCAGCCTCCAACTTTCCCTTTAGCTGCATCTGTCACAATATGCGACCACAGCAGCAGGAAACCAAGACAGTGCCGTCAAAGAAATGTAAACAATGAAAAAAAAGAAAAAAGAAATATAAAAACTGTAAGAAAAGGAGTCTTCATTTTAGAGGCACAGTTGAAAACCTGACTACAAACTCCACAACAATTCTAAAATAGGCTCCCAGTCAAACATGTCAACTGCTTTGAAGACAGACCTCTGTGAGTCTCATTTCATGCAAACGCAGGAGTTTCAACTGACATGTCAGCACTGTGTAGGTGACTTACCATCTTAGAGTGCTTTCACAGAACATACAAATAACTCCATTAGACTAATTTCAGGGAATCTAGGAACTCATTTAAAGAAAATACTAGGAGGGAAGAAAAGCTACATCCTAGGATTATTCCAAACAGAAAAAGTCCAAACTCCAGCTTTAGAATTTCATCTGGGCCATGGTTTTGCTCAATTTAGGCTCCACAGCAGCTCTGCCACAACACTGATATGCATACTGGGAAGCTATTTTCATCTGCTTTCATCCTCTTGGTTTATCTCACTGTGTGATCACTGGTTTCCCAATCACTTTCACATCACTCATAGAGTGTCAGTAATTTTAGACCATTGAGGTAAAGAAGGCAGAGTAGCAGAGCACCAGAGCAGGAGACTGGCTGAAAACACCTTCAATCACACACAGGAAAACACCAAACAACAAGGCTACAAATTCTCAGAGCCCACTTCCAGGGGCAAATTTCCTCCAGCAAGGCTCAACATCCTATAAATTCCATGACCTTCCCAAATATCGCCATCAACTGAGGACCAAACAGTCAAAACACGAGGCTATGGAGGGCATTCCCCATGCAAACCAACCACCACAGTACAACACATGGTATTCAAATACAGACATGAGAAATGAAACCGTGTCTATGGTCTCATGACCTCTGGTAAGGGAACACAGACCTCAATGGGAATAAGGTAATCTTTACAGTGGTGCATGTGACAGAACAATAGAAGCCAATGAAGCTGTACCCTGTACCTCGTCACACACACACACACACACACACACACACACACACACACAGGTATAAGAGCTCACTGACACTCATCAAAGAAAATGCAAAGTTGGTCTGGGGTTAGTTGGTGCCTTCTCAGTTAAGACACCTAAATTTTATGTGATGATGAAGACCAATTAGAGTAGACTTGTGTTTAAATCTTTAAACTTTGCATATGATACCACCAAGAAAATAAAACTGGAAACCAGATATGTTGGCACACACCTGTAATTCCAGTGGTCAGGAAGCAAACACAGGAGGACAGCAAGTTCGAGGCCAGCCTGGGCTAAAAGACCCTGCCTCAAAAACCCAAAAGATGGGCCTATAATTCAGTGGTATACAACTAAGTGCTCGCCTTACAAGAGTCTGGGTTTAATCCCCAGCACTGCAAAAGCAAACAAAGGAAAGGTGAAAAGAACCCATGTACTGAGGGAAAGTTGTGTCACATGCTTGACAAGAAATTTATATCCATAAAACACAAGAAGTTCTTATATGTCAATAAAAAAAACAAACAACCCAATTAAAGTCACTGTAGCAGACATCTCTCCAAAGCCACACAAATGGCCAAGAAGTGTTTAGAAAGACACTCAGTATCATTAGACACTAGAGAAATGTGAATCTAGTCAGCAGTGAGATACCACTTTACACTCACCAGGACAGCTAGCACTGGTGAAGAGGCAGGAACACTGGCATTTCATACATCGCTGGTAAGAATGTAAAACTATGGAGTCACTTAGGAAGCAATGTGACATTTACTATGTCACCCATAAGGCCCAGAAATTCTGCATCTACCCAAGAGAAGTGAAAACATATTCACACAACAACTCACACTATCATCATGACAACATTCACAACAATCACAAATAGGAACAATCTAAATAGCTATCAACTAAAAAGCAGATGAAATGTGGAATATTCAGTCATAAAATAAAGTACTAACAAAAAACAGAAAGTGTACTAACAGGTCCTAAATCAGGACCAACTTCAGAACTACCATGCTAATTTAACAAAACATACGCATGCGATCTCACTGAGACAAAATAACCAGAATAAGAAAGCTTTATGGAGAGAGCAGATGCACCACTGCTGCCTGTGAACAGACGAGTGTGGAGAAGGAAATGGGGAGTGCTAACGTGTGGGGAACTTAGGGGCAGTGATGAAATGTCCTAACGTCCGATTCTGATAGTGCCTGTGCGTCTCTGCACACACTAACAACCATCATCTCATACCTGAGACAGGTGAACCTCACAGTATGTAAACCAAAGCACTGAGACACTAGCCCCAGGGGCAGGAGTTCTTACCCCAGCAGTGGTCAGGCAGGTGGTGAATTCTTTAGACAGAGAGCCCAGGTCTTTACACAGCATGACTGTCATCCTGCAGAGAAGAACATGTTAAAGGAGTCTGCTCTTCTTTCTCTTTCTATTCATTTAATAACTAAACACATCACTCCTAATAACAAGGAAGAAGGAAGTCCTTCCCTCATCATGACTTCTGAAGCAACCATCCTCTCTTGGGTTCCAAACCCTGTAGGGCAGCCCCTCCCTTTTTTAGCTTCCTTCCTTCTTGCCCAAGTCCCTCTAGCCTCAGTTGTGAAAACAGCTCCCTGCCCTTGCTCATCTTTCACCTCAGCTCCTCCACACCTCATGTGACAAATTCCCAATGCTCAAGCACAGGCATATTCTCCTGATCGTGTGTTGATTTCTTTACTCACTAACACCACTATAAGATAGGCATTGATATTACTGACCCCCCCCCTCGTTTTTCTTGAGACAGGGTCACATAGCCCTGTTAACTCACTAGGTAGACAAGGCTGGCCTAAAATTCACAGAGAGATCCTCCTGTCTCTACCCTCAAATGTTGGGAATACAATAAAACTAAAGAAAGTTAAGTAACCTGGCACTCTACTTACAGTCAGCTTCAAAAGATTAACAAGACATCCTAGCACTAAAAGTCTCCTTAGAACCCTTACATTTTGCGGTGTCTATTGGTCTTATCCTGACTATTCACAGGGTGTACTGTGTAGCTCTCAGAGGCAGAGAAGAATTTTATTTCGCTCATTATCTGTTCCAGTGAGTAAGTAAATACAGTCATCTCTTCTCTCACACAGCAGGCACACTAACTAGGAGAAAATCCTCCCTAAGAAGCCTGTTCACTTCCCATGAGAAAAGGTAGAAATGTCGCTGCACTTAGCACCAAAGCACCAACCTCACTTCCCACCTGAAGAAAAGCAGCAGAGTTAAGCAGGCACTCATCAGAAAATAGCCATGGAAAGTCACTGTAGACTGCAAAAATGAGCAGAGCTCCACCAGCTCTCATAGACCCTAACCTCCTAGCCAATCCAGGGGAGATTACACACCAATACACGTGTGTGTATGTGTGCGTGCGTGTGTGTGTGTGTGTGTGTGTACTTGTATATGAAAGCAAACACACACACTATAGGAGGTGAGATGAGCTACAAAAACAAAAGCAAACAAAAAACTACAGATTGGTGGGAGAAGGTGTTTTAGACTGTGTAGCAAGGACGGTGCTTGAGGTGGCATGGTTAGGGAATGAGGCAGACATAGGAAGGCATTCTAAGCTGCAGGAAGGGCCACTCTTCCACACAACAGGCTGCTCTGGGTCTGTGTCCTCTATCCTTAAAGATGTTCAAGACAACACTAGGAACCCTTTAGGGCAGTAAGGATGCTGAACCTGGGGGCTGGAGAACATAAACACTAGATTCTCACATTGCTAATCAGACTTCTTCAAGTCAGGTGTGTAAACCCAGCACTCAAAGGGGGAAATTGTGAAACTGGAGCTAGCTTAAAAGTCTGTGTCTCTGTTGTGTATGTCTGTCTCTCTCTCACATATACACACACATAAAAGGATATCTATTTGGATTTAGAAACTACTAGGCTTAGACCTATCCGTTCTACCAGAACTATTCACATTTTACTATTTTGAAATATGTTTGTTCAAAATCAATAAAAATAAAAAAATATAAAATATATGTGGGACTTGGGCAACCTCCCTGAACTGCCGTAGCTCTGCACCTCCTCCATTTGTAAAGTTGTACTAATCAACTGCCTTTTGTGCTGCTATAGAAATTAGAAATAATACACATCAATTGCTCACACAGCACCTGGCATACAGCAAGGACTGGTAACTAATAACCGCCATTAAGGCTAAAGAACTTAAGGCTACTTTTTGTTGTTTCTTCCACCAAGTTCCACTCCTATGAAGACTAACAATCTGCAAAGAAACAGTTCTCAGAGAACGAATTACTTAATGGAACAGGTATGTTTATATTAGACTTGTCCTGCTCAGTACCCTAAATGAACAAGCCTTTCACACATACCTATGTGTAGTGGGAACAGTACCTTGTTAAAAAGCAATTTTCTAAAAGCTGGAAGAAACAAAAAACCCCTCAGCAGTTTTCTTTGAGAGACACAGACTACATCGGACTTACTGGGAGAGTGTCTGGCTCCTCTCTAAGGCTGTCACCTCCTGCTTCTGGCCATGCAGAACCAACGCTGCCGTTTTGTGGAATAGTTCAATTGAGCAGGCAGTCAATTCAGCTAAGCTCCGGATTGCAAATGCATGGATAGCCTAAAAAACAAAGTACACAGAATCTTGTTAATGTTATTTATCATTGTAAGTAGAAAGGACAGCAACTTGCATCTCACACTGAAGAATGTGTTGCTTTCCAAGTAGAAAAGATGAACAGCCACTGTTTAATAGACCTGCTCTTCTTCTGCAGCATGGCACCTTCCACAGCTGGGCTCTCACCTACAGACATAGAGGCTCCGGTACGGCTGGCAAGGACTATGTTGCTAAGTCTGGCCAAAGGACTAAGACAAGTGTCTGATAACTCACCTTGTGTTATAAACAATTTCCCTCCTTCCTTTCCTCTCTCCTTCACTTCACTATTTTTTTCTTCATTCCTCTCCTACAGTCTGGAACTAAAATGATACCAACCTGAATCATAATGTTGAAATGACTGATGACAACGTAACAAATAAAAGACCCCTTACCTCAACTGTAATGTCACCTCTATTTTAGAGTTGGAGTGCATTCTCCTGTGTGTGCATGTGTGGAGTCTAGAGGCCTATGTCCAATGTCTTCCTCTATCTCCAGTTTATTTTTCGCAACAGGGTCTCTTATTAAACTTGGAGCTTACTGTCTGGCCAGTGAGATCTGGGGGAATCTCCTGCCTTCACAACCCCATACTTTCCTGCGCTGGGGTTACAAATGCATGATACCATACCTAGCCTTTTATGTGGACGCTAGGAACCCAAGTTTAGGTCCTAATGTTTGGGCATCAAGCATTTCACCACTGTACCATCTGCCAGCCCTCTCAATTTTATCTTTTTTCAAAAGAGCTTAGTTGCTTTGGTTACCTCTACTGAATTTTTTTTGGCTTCCTCAGTATTTTCAGCCTCCAACTGTTCTCCTTCTTTCTCTGCTACTGGCGTAGCCAGAGATGTCCTGATCCATTCGTAGGCTCTATTTCTTGCCTAAATAAGGAAGACAATCCAAAAATTAGGTGCAGTTCCTATCAGGAACACATCAGCAGCCTGGGATGTGCTCTTCTCACAAGCACAGACCATGTGACTTTTGAATCCTTGTCTTACTAGTACAAACTCTTACACTGAGCCTTGTCCAATGGCTCCTTTTGATCCCTCTAGTTCTGTGGCATCTTTATAACTGAGGGTTACATTAGATAAAGCCCAAGCATCTGAGCACAGATCAGCAGTGTTCACAGGTCTGTGCTTCTGGAACTGGAAGCCAGGTCAAGCTGCAGAGCACAGTGCTCTCCATGCCTTATTCAATCCTGCTCATGCAATGAGATAATGAACTCACAGATTATCAGTAAAATTACTAAGAAAGGAAAGCCACACAACTGTGATCCCAGCACTCAGGGAGGCAGAGGCAGGTGGATAGCTGTGAGTTTGAGATCAGCCTGGTCTACAAAGCGAGTCCAGGACAGCCAAGGCTACACAGAAAAACCCTGTCTCAAAAAAAAAAAAAAAAAGGAAGGAAGGAAGGAAGGAAGGAAGGAAGGAAGGAAGGAAGGAAGGAAGGGAGGGACAAGGATAGCCAGCCATTGACCCAAAGCCCCTAGTGATCCCTAAAAACCATGTACAAAAGTATCCTAAGAACAAAGACATAGAAAACAGTAGAGCCCAGAGGGACAGGCTCCTCACAGAGCCATATCTGAAGCAATGCTGTGGCGCCACAACATTGTAGTTTCTTTGGCTACTGCCTTTTCCACTTAGGTTTTTATCTTTTTTAGAGGAAGCATTTTACTGCCTGTGCTACCTGGTTTTTGTCACAAACCTAGACATATTTGAGGAAAGGGAATCTTAATTGAGAAAATGCCTCCATAATGCTGCCCTGTAGGTAGTCAGAGGCATCCACTTAATTAATTTCATACAAGCATAAGAATGAATTGAGCTGGGTGGTGGTGGCACTCAGGAGGCAGAGACAGCCAGATCTCTGTGAATTCCAGCTTGGTCTATAGAGTGAGTTCTAGGACAGACAGAGCTATACAGAGAAAAAGGAAAGAAAGAAAGAAAGAAAGAAAGAAAGAAAGAAAGAGAGAGAGAGAGAAAGAGAGAGAGAAAGAGAGAGAGAAAGAGAGAGAGAAAGAGAGAAAGAGAGAGAGAAAGAGAGAGAGAAAGAGAGAGAGAAAGAGAGAGAGAA